CTGGGCCTTACCCTGACATCCGGGATTTAACTGCACAGGGAAATCACAGCATCACAGAATGAGAGAGAGAGGGGCTCAAGGAGGATGTTCAGCCCAGTCTAACTGTGCCAGCTCTTCAGAAAACCAATCCAAATCATCCCACAGCCCTGCTCTCCCCACCCCACCCCCACAGTCCTGGCCTGCTTTCTCTTTCCAAATATTCATTGAATTCCTTTTGGAAAGTTCTCGACTGCCTGCTCTCAGGTACAACTACAATGCATTCTAACAACTCACCGCCCTTAATATATCCTCAGAATCTGCTGCTTCTGTTGTTAATTACTTTAAATCGGGATTGACCATGCTCCTCCGACATCCGCCTATTTGCTGAAAGCCCTCAGCATTTCAAACTCCTTGATGAAGATCTTTGTTTATCTTCTCTGTTCCTTCTATCCCTCATCACTCCATGTATTGGAGCCCTGTGTCCCTCAAAAGGACCGACTGCAATCAGGGAAGGTGCAACAGAGATTGACAAGGCTATTATGTTCGAGAACTGAGAGGCTGTCAATATCAGGAAAGCAGCAACAGTCTGAGGCTGAGATGGGACCTGACACCCAGGGAGTTTGTCAGAGTCAATCTCGAGGAGGCACAGAACTGTCGGATGGTCCAGAGCTAAGGATTATAAAAATAAGAGGGTCACAAATAAATCTACTGAGGAATCCAGTGGAATTCTCTTCTCTGAGCGAGAACATGAAATCCTCTCCATCAAGAGGTGATGGAGCCCATCAGCACAGATTGATTTCAGGGAACATAGAACAGTAGAGCACAGGGATGGGCCCTTCGGCCCAGAACGTTGTACCATGACGCCAAATTAAACAACAACTCATCAACACACAAGGAGAAAGGAACAGGAGGATACACTGATGGAGTGAGAGGAATAACAGATGTGGGCATTGCTGGCTGGCCAGCATTTCTTGCCTGGCCCTAGTTGCCCTTGAGAAGGCGGTGGTGAGCTGCCTTCTTGAACCGCTGCAGACCACCTGCTGTGGGTTTACCCACAATGCCCTTAGGGAGGGGATTCCAGGATTTTGACCCAGCGACAGTGAAGGAGTGGCGATATATTTCCAAGTCAGGATGGTTAGCAGCTTGGAGGGGAACTTGGAGGTGGTGGTGTTCCCATGTATCTGCTGCCCTGTGCCTTTGGTGGCAGTATTGGTGGGTTTGGGAGTGTGAAGGACACAGTGAAGAATTGAAGTGTGCTGCTGCAATGGGAGATGGGGCTCTCACAGCACAGGGACATGGAACTAGACACACAGCAGTATCTGCTTCCCTTAAAGAGATCCAGCCCACCCACTGTATCCAGGTGTGAAGCTGGGATCGGTGTAACCTACCAGCGAGCTGGGCACTGGCACACATGTGTAATGCGCATGCTGTGGGTGTAGGTGTGAGTGTGTGTGTGTGTCATGTGGGGTTGTGTGTGTGAGTGAATGAGATGGGGGAGAGAGAGTGTGTGTGTGGGTGAGGGGGGAGAGACAGGGAGTGTGTGTGTGTGTGTGTGTGTGTGTGTGTGAGTGTGTGAGTGTGGTTGGGTGTGACAGAATGTGTGTGTGTGGCTGTGAGAGTGTGTGTGCTGTGAGTCTGTGTGTGTGAGTCTGTAGGGCTGCATGTGTGTGAGTGTATGTGTTTCAGCATGTGTGTGTGTGTACGAGGGTGAGTGTGGGTGTGAGTGTGAGTGTATGTGTGTGAGCATGTGCATGAGAGTATGAGTGTGTGTGTGTATGTGTGTGTGTGTGTATGTGTGTGTGTGTGTGTGTGTGTATATGTGTGTGTGTGTATATGTGTGTGTGTGTGTATGTGTGTGTGTGTGTGTGTGTGTGTGTGTATATGTGTGTGTGTGTGTATGTGTGTGTATGTGTGTGTGTGTGTATGTGTGTGTGTGTGTATGTGTGTGTGTGTGTGTGTGTGTGTGTGTATATGTGTGTGTGTGTGTATGTGTGTGTGTGTGTATGTGTGTGTGTGTGTGTGTGTGTGTATGTGTGTATGTGTGTTTTATCCCAGAATGCAGCTGTTGAAAGAGAGAGACACTGGAATGTTTGTTGGGACTGTGAAACTCTCGCTGAGAATCTAAAAGATTATGAGTTCTCTTACCAGCCCACACGGCGACTTTGCAATGTCTATGCACTCTCCTGGACTCTGAGCCGGATCCTCCTACAAACCGTCCTGGTCGTTCTGCCAGCTTGCCACGTGTAGACCCATTGCTGCTTTGCTTTAGTCTGGAATGAAGTTAAAACAGATGTTGAATGTGGCTCTCAGCCACTCTGTGGGTTATATAAAATCTTCATTTTAGATGAAAGATGTCGTCGAAAATTGAACCATGGCTAGTCACAGCCTTTCAGACTCCTGTAGGTGAGTGGATATGAAGTAATGGAGAGTGGACACAGCAGCTAAAACAAAAATCCAGCACTGGCCAGTGTAAAACCCAACAAATAGGCCATCTGCACCTGAAGGGTAAGGCAGTGGATGTGGTGTACGTGGACCTCCAAAAGGTATTTGATAAATACAACAGACTTGTGAGCAAGGGGACAACTTGGAATTAGAGGATTAAAAGGGACAGTGGAAACATGTAGGCAGTATTGTCAGAGAGACACGAAGAAAAGAGTAATTTTCAGGCTGGAGCAAGTGCCTAATGTCTTCCACATAACCAGAAGCCAATGTCGCGCTACATGATAGCACCCTCAACAAAGGCTATATCTGTCAAGACTTAGCTGGATATAAACCTACCAGAGGTCTTCAAATCAACAGAATCTACGTACCTCATTTGCATTACAAAATGAACATCAGCAAAGCTTTTAGTGGAGTTATAGTCATAGAGTCATACAGCATGGAAACAGACCATCCCATCCTGCCTGGCCATGCCAACCACATTCCCAAACTAAACTAGTCCCATCTGCCTGTGCTTGGCCCATGTCCCTCCAAACATTTCGTATTCATCTACTTATTCAAATGTCTTTTAAATGTTGTAATTGTACCCGCATCCACCACTTCCTCTGCAAGTTCATTCCACACACAAAACGCTCTGTGTAAAAAAAGTTGCCTCTCGTGTCTTTTTTAAAACTTTCTCCTCTCACCTTAAAGATCTGCCCCTTAGACTTGAAATCCCCCACCTGAGGGAAAAGACACCTACCATTCACCTTATCCATGATTTTATAAACCTCTGTAAGGTCACCAGATTCATTAGACGCACTCATGAGAGAGCGCAGAACGTCACCCAGGCACAATGTGATGCCATTCGTCCTCTCAAGACCAATCACAACATTGGCATCCAACCTGCAGACAAAGGAGAAACCATTGTCATACAGAACAGAACAGATGACTGCAAGGAAGCCTACCGACAGCTGAACAACCAGGAACACTACAGACAACGACCTGCTGATATGCCTAAAGAACACTCCCATCAACTGAACAGACTGATCAAGACCTTTGATCCAGACCTCAGAGTAGACTACGCTCATGTACTTCTCACATCGGGGACTCCTACTGCCTTCTGAAGATACACAAAGCCAACAAACCTGGATATCCCATCGAATCAGGCAACGGGACCCTGTGTGAGAACCTCTCTGGTTATGTTGAGGGCAACCCATTGTACAAAGAATACCAGCTTCTGTCGTGACTCTACAGATTTCTTACAGAAACTCAGCACCCACAGACCAGTTGAACCAGGAACATTCTGAGTGTAGTTTTAACACTCTACACCAGCATCTGCCAGAACGACTGCTTCACAGCAACAGCCTCAGTACTCAATATCACCAACTGCCAATTTCCAGATGCCATCCTACAACTCATCCGCTTCATCCTCGACCACAACATCTTCACGTTCAACAACAAGTTCTTCATCCAGACACATGGAACAGCCATAGGGACAAAATGTGCACCCCAATATGCCAACATTTTCATGCATATGTTCAAGACAGACTTCTTTGCTGCACAGGACTTCCAACCAACGCTATACACCAGATACACTGATGACATTTTCTTCCACTGGACTGATGGTGAGGAATCACTGAAACAATTACATAATGATATCAACAAGTTTCATCCCACCTTCAGATTTACCATGGACTACTCTTCAGAATCAGTCTTATTCTTGGACACACACATCAGGGGCAGACACCTCAGTACCTCGCTCTACTGCAAGCCCATGGATAACTTCACGATGCTGCACTTCTCTAGCTTCCACCCTAAACATAAAGAAGCCACCCCTTATGGACAAGCCCTGCGCATACACAGGATCTGCTCAGGTGAGGAGGAACACGATGGACAGCTAAAGATGCTGGAAGATGCCTTCATAAGAACGGGATATGATGCTCAACTCATCGATTGCCAGTTCTGATGTGCCACAGCGAAAAACTGCATCGACCTCCTCAGAAGACAGACATAGGACATGGCTGATAGAGTACCCTTTGTTGTCCAGTACTTTCCTGGAGCAGTGAGACCACGCCCTGTACTTCGCAGCCTTCAACATGTAATCATTGATGATGAGCACCTCACCAAGATCTTCCCCACACCTCCACTTCTCGCCTTCACACAATCGCCAAACCTTAATCTGACCAATGTTCACAGCAAACTGCCCAGCCTTCAGGATAACATTGACCACAACACCATACAACCCTGTCCTGGCAACCTCTGCAAGACATGTCAGATCATCGACATGGACACCAACATCACACGTGGGAACACCACCCAACACGTGCACGGCAGATAATCATATGACTCGACCAACGTCGACTACCTCATACGCTGTAGGCGAGGATACCCCGAGGCATGGTATATTAGCGAGACCAAGCAGACACTACGACAATGGATGAATGGACACTGCACAACAATCACCAAACAGGAATGTTCCCTCTCAGTTGGGGAACACTGCAGTGGTCAAGGTCATTCAGCCTCCGATCTTCGGGTAAGCGTCCTCCAAGGCGGCCTTCGGGATACAGAACATCGCAGAATCGCCCAGCAGAAACTGATAGCCAAGTTCTGTACCCATGAAGACAGCCTCAACCATGATGTTGGGTTTATATCACGCTACATGTGACCCCACTGCACTGTTCTGTATCTGTAAAATCTTCCTTACACTCCTGTTTTGATGCCATCACCTTGATAAATTGTTATGATCTCTCTACCTTAATTAGTTTGTACACTTTTGGATTACTTATGACTTTGATTAGACCCTCGGCATGCAACTCTTATACCTATTATGTTATTCCAGTCATTTGGTTTGTCTCCAGCACCAATTTATTTTTAATTTTTTGTAATTATCTCTTTGCCTCATTTAATCAGATTTTAGGTCATCCCTTCGCTTGTTATTCAGCTGTTGACACTTTACTCACACCATCTGACACTCTCAATCACCTGCAGAGACTTAGTATTCAACACTCCAGTCACATCATTTGTATGATCTTTTGATCTCTCTGCCCTTGATCTCTCTGCCTGGTGCTGTGTGACTTCTGACTCTGAGCAATGAAGACAGGCCTGCCAAACAGCTTCTTAACCATCCTATCTACATGTGATGCAAACTTTGAAGAATTATGAACTTGAACCCCTAGGTCTCTCCATTCTATAACATTACCCAAGGCCCTACTTTTAATTGTATAAGTCCTGTCCTTGTTTGTTTTACCAAACCTTGCATTTATCCAAATTAAACTCCATCTGCTGCTCCTCAGCCCATCGACCCAATTGATCAAGATTTCTTTGTACTTAGATAACGTTCTTCACCATTCACTATACCACCAATCCTGGTGTCATCTCCAAACTTAATAACCACGCCTTCTATATTCTCATCTAAATCATTTATATAAATGACAATCAAAAGTGGACCCAGCACTGATCCCTGTGGAACACAGTGGGTCACAGGCCTCCAGTCCGAAAAAACCTTCCACCATTACTCTCTGTCCCCTGGCATTAAGCCAATTTTGTGTCCAATTGACAAGCTCACCCTGAATGCCATGTGATCTGACTTTACTAATTAGTCTACCATGTGGAACCTTGTCAAAGGCTTTACTAAAATCCAAGTAAACAATATCTACCTCTCTGCCTTCGTCAATCTTCTTGGTTACTTCCTCAAAAAACTCAATCAAGTTTGTGAGACAAGATCTCCCGTGCACAAAACCATGCTGACTATCCCTGGTCATTCGCTGCCTCTCCAAATGCACCTAAATCCAATCTTTCAGAATCACCCTCAACAGTTTACCTACCACCGAAGTCAAATTCACAGGTCTATAGTTCCCAGGCTTCTCCTTACCTGCCTTCTTAAACAAAGGCACTACATTAACCTTAATCCCATCATTCAGCACCTCACCCATATATGTAGATGATACAAATATTTCTGCAAGGGGCTTCTCAATTTCCTCCCAAACTTCCCGCAAAGTCCTGGGATACACTAGATCAGGTCCCAGAGATTTATCCACCTTTATATTTTCTAAGACTTTCAGCTTTTTCTCTTTTGTAATGTCAACTGTTTTCAAAACATCAATATTTACTGCCCTGAGTTCTTAAGCCTTCATTTCTTTCTCCACAGTAAAATCTGATGTGAAATATTCATTTAATATCTCTCCCATCTCCTGAGGTTCAACACAAAGACAACCTCTTTGATCTTTAAGGGATCCTCTCCTAGTTGCTCTCTTGGTCTTAACGTACTTGTCAAATCTCTTTGGATTATCCTTAACCTAAGTTGCCAAGGCTATCTCATATCCTCTCTTTGCCTTCCCGATCTACACCTTAAGAATGCCCCTACACTCTTTATATTGAGTGTGTGAGTTTCTCAGGGGTCTTGCTTTTCCTCATAAATACAACAATCTACACCCAGTGTGCAAGAGACAATTTCAAAGTTTGCGATGATACAAGACTTGGGAGCAATGTAATTTGTCAAGAGGGCAGTACAGAACTTCAAAAGATATGAACAGGCAGGTGGAGGGAACAGATGAAGTTCAACACAGAGAAGTGTGAAAAGATGCATTTTTGTAGGAGGAACATTGAGAAAGTATAAAAGGTCCAATTCTAAAGTGTCTGCAGGAGCTAAGAGGCTTGGGTGTAAATGTATATAGGTTGTTGAAGGTAGCAGGACAGAAAAAGAGGGCTATTAACAAAGCAAACACAATGGAAGGCTTCATAAATAAGAGCAGGGAGGTTATGCTGAACCTGTGTAGGACACTGGCTGAAGCTCAGCTGGAGCACTGTGCACTGTGTAGGTGTCACATTACTGAATGAGAAGGATGCGAAT